CCTGATTCATTGTCCAGTTGGTCCCAATCTATAAATAATTTCTGGAAAGGTTCTAAGGAGGTAATAAGAGAGATAGATCTTCTTTTGTTCTCAATCAGAACGTAACTTAAATTTAACCACACACGGAATACTGCACCTTCCAGTTTTGGTCACCACATTCAAAACAAATGTTGAGACTTTGGGAAAAGTGCAGAGAAGAGCAACTAAGATGATTAAAGGCCTGGAGACTAAAACATATGAAGAACGGTTGCGGGATTTGAGTGTGGCTAGTCTAGAGAAAAGAAGGACACGGGGAGACATGAATATTCCAGTATTTGAGGGGCTGCCACAAAGAGGAGGGTATCAATTTATTTTCCAAAGCACCAGAGGGCAAGAGAAGAAACAATGGATGAAAACTGATCAAGAAGAGAAGCAACCTGGAATTAAAGAGAAACTTCCTAACAGTGAGGACAATTAACCAATGGTACAGCTTGCCCCCAGAAATCATGGGTGCTCCATCACTGGAGGTTTTTAAGAAGTGACTGGACAGCCATTTGTCTGAAATGGCATAGGCTCTCCTGCTTGAGCAGGGGGTTGGACTAGAAGACCTCCAAGGTCCCTTCCAGCACTATGCTGAATTGATATTGTATTGACTAACTGTTTTTGAACCTCGGCTGCCATTAAATGTTCATATCAAAAAGCTATCGGAGGTCTTGAACTTTCTGAATGTGTTATTTCCTCTAAAATCACCTAAGCTTTCAATGACTTTCATTATATTTGTTATCGTAGTTTTCATATATTCATTATGGATGTGTGATCTGGAAGGGAAGACTTCTTTAGGTCCATCCTGAAAATGGCCACCAATTAATCTGAGGGACCAAAGTCTTAACGTAATGAGAATTAAAAAAATAAACTAAAAACTAGCGTTAGCTAGTTTGTTTGTTTTTTACCATACTCTGATGCATAATCTTCTTCCTGTTCAATGTGGAGATGATCCAATATGGTGATGATAGGGAACTGGAAGCATACGATGAATGGTTGAGGAAACTAGGCAGTGATGGGATTCAGCCAGTTTGCACCACTTCGGCAGAACCGGTAGCTAATTTTTTGTTGTCCAGGCCAAGAATGGACTTCCGGAAGTGGCATCCATACAGAGAACCAGTTGTTCACATATTTGAATCCTACCATTGGAACTAGGTATGTCTAGCCTAATGAAGACAAGGACTAGGGGTGGCATGAGAGCAGTGTGGCAATATCTGAGGTGCTGTCCCAGAGAGAAGAGAAGGTCAGCCTATTTTCCAAAGTTCCCAAAGGCAGGATAAGAAGCAATCGATGGAAGCTTATCAAAGAGAGACCCAACCTAGAATTAAGGAGAATTTCTTGACAGTGAGAGCAATTAACCAATGGAACTGCTTCTTTCTCAGAGTTCATCACTGGAGTTTTCAAGAAGACATAGGACAGCTGGCTGGGGAATTCTGGGAATTGAAGTCCACCAGTCTTAAAGTTGCCAAGACTGGACACCTGTGACTTAGATAGTTGGGTGGGGAAAAAAATCAGAAAGCTAACTCTAACGAGTATCCAATGTTTGTGGCCCAGATCTTGTAGCCTTAAGGAAGAGCAGCTTTTTCTTCTGAAGAGAATTGCCTCGGCGCAACGGTATTGGAAAACTCACAAACGCGCAAGAAACGCATCAGTTGGAAATATTTATAGTTTTTCCTTTCTACGTTTTACCCAGTTGACAACGCTACCTAAGGCTATGTACAAGGCTTAGAATAAGAAAAAAACATCAAATGAAAAAAACATCAACCTGATTTTACAAATGAATGCTTGTAAATATGATCCACTGAGTTAAAGGGGATTTACTCCTAAGTGACACGTTGGTTCACCCTCATGTAGAGCACCCCATTTCAACTATAATAATAATACAGGTCGTCTTTGGCTTATGATCACAACTGACCCCAAATGTTCTGTAGTTCAGTGAGACATTTGTGAAACGGGTTTTGCCCCATTTTACGGCCTTTCTTGCCACCGTTGTTAAGTGAATCCCTGCAGCTGTTAAGTTAGTAACACAGTTGTGAAGTGAACTTGGCCTCCCCATTGACTTTGCTTGTCACATGACTCCGGGATACTGCAACCATCATAACTATGAGTCAGTTGCCAAGCATCTGAATTTTGATCACGTGACTCTGGGGGTGCTGTAACGGTCGTAAGTGGGACCAATGGTCATAAGTCAATTTTCTCAGTGCCGTTGTAACTTCGAACGGTTACTAAATGTCTAGTTTAATGAAGAGAAGGACGAGTGGGGACATGATAGCAGTGTTCCAATACCTCAGGGGCTGCCATAAAGAAGAGGGAGTCAAGCTATTCTCCAAAGCATCTGAAGGCAGGACAAGAAGCAACAGATGGAAACTAATCAAGGAGAGAAGCAACCTGGAACTAAGGAGAAATTTCATGACAGTTACAACAATTAACCAGTGGAACAACCTGCCTCCAGAAGCGGTAAATACTCCAACACTGGAAGTTTTTAAGAAGACACTGGACAGACATTTGTCTGAAATGGTATAGGGTTTCCTGCCTGAGCAGGGGATTGGACTAGAAGACCTCCAAGGTCCCTTCCAACTTTATTATTATTATTATTATTATTATTATTATTATTATTATTATTATTATTATTATTATTATTATTATTATTATTATTATTATTATTATTATTATTATTATTATTATTATTATTATTATTATTAACTGTCGTATATTGAGAACTACTTGTATAGTTCTTCCAGTGTCTGGGTGCTTCAAAGGGCAAAATCACCTGTAGAGAGCTGGATAAGGTTTTCAAGGCCGTCCAGCTAAATTCCTGCCTCAGTGCTCTTGGACAGCTTGACTCTTTTTCTAAATAGGAGAAATTGTGCCAATAACAATAGCCAAGGCACAACCCAAGATTAGAAGTGCTGAAAGTCTTTTTTTTAATTGCAAGCATCTAAATCAGTGATGGCGAACCTTTTAGAGACCGAGTGCCCAAACTGCAACCCAAAACCCACTTATGCATCTTCGGGTGCCAGGTGGGTGTGGCGCATTGGCTGGGTGTGGCCCATTGGGTGGGCACGGCTGCGGTGGTAACGGCAGACTGGGTGGGACTAAAAAGTTCAATCAATCAATTCCAACTTTACAAGATCTTTTTTTTTCCCATGAGAAGTTAAAATTGACTGATTGATTGAACTTTTTTTTTTTTGCACATGCGGCGGAGGCCTAAAGCGAAAAGATTTTATAAAACCCAGCTGAAGGCCTAGGACTGGGGCAACGGTGCATGTGCCCACAGAGAGGGCTCTGAGTGCCGCCTCTGGCACCCGTGCCATAGGTTCGGCACCACTGATCTAAATCAGTGTCACCCAGATCAGGGGTCTCCAACCCTCGGTCTGTGGACCAGCATCGGGTCACGACATGCCAGAAACCGGTCCATGCCAACTCCATCCACAGGATGCAGGCAGCACATGAAGCCATGCTCCCTCTGGTCCATGGAAAAACCTCTCTCCACGTAACTGGTCCCTGGTGCCCAAAAGGTTAGGGGGCGGCTGACCTAGATAACATAATGTGTGGATTTCAACATGTAGATTCTCCACAGTGGCCATGCTGGCTACGAGCGGGAGTGTACCTATCTGGAAGTTACTTTGTTAACCCTGATTTTGAGGATTGCACAAAACAATCCTTGGGTGTTGACCTGGAAGCTCACATTTCCAACCATTGACCAGGTTGGGAAGTTCTGATTTCCATATTTTCCAGGTAATGATCTAATTTTTAAACTCCTATTCCTGGGAATCTCGGAGTTCTTCGGAAAACACTCAGATCAATGAAGACACCGAGGTATCCTTCTCTGCCATTTGTAATTATATGAATATATAGGGAGCACAGAAAGATGTCTTTGGGTGAGGCAAGGCTAGGAGATACGTAGCTTGAAATTCCACATCAACTACAAATTTCTCTTTCAAGCAGCTGTTTCTCCTACTCATTCTGGAGGGAACTCAGAGGCAGCTGTGCACATTGGATTTGTTTGAAAGGCAACAGAGTTAGACAAAGGACTGCCTAGTTCAGGGGTAGGCCACCTTGGCTCTTTTATGACTCATGGACTTCAACTCCCAGAATTCCTGAGCCAGCATGGCTCAGCTTGGAAACCTCTCCCTTTCCCCTCAGCGTGGCTGGCTCAGGAATTCTGGGAGTTGAAGTCCATGAGTCATAAAAGAGCCAAGGTTGCCTACCCCTGCTCTAAACTAATAAAGTCTACATTAATTAACATTAATTATGCTTTCATATGTTCCTCTAGGTCAGGGGTAGGCCACCTTGGTTCTTTTATGACTCGTGGACTTCAACTCCCAGAATTCCTGAGCCAGTATGGCTCAGCTTGGAAACCTCTCCCTTTCCCCTCAGCATGGCTGGCTCAGGAATTCTGGGAGTTGAAGTCCACGAGTCATAAAAGAGCCACGGTTGCCTACCCCTGGACTAGTCCTTCTTGGGCATGTGTATACAGGTAGTCCTTGACTTACATCCACTTGTTTAATGACTGAAATTACAACAGCATTGACAAAAAGCGATTTATGGCTATTTTCCACATTTACGACCACTGCAGCATCCATGTGATTACGTGATCAAAATTCAAGTGCTTGGCAACTGGGCCACATTTATGACGGTTGCGGTGTCCCGGGGTCACGTGAACCCCTTTGGCGACTTTTCTGACAAGCAAAGTCAACAGGGAAGCCAGATTCACTTAGCAACCGCGTTACTCACTTAATAACTGCAGTGATTCCCTTAACAAGGGTGGCAAGAAAGGTCGTAAAATGGGGCAATGCCCACTTAGCAACTGTCTTGCTTGAGCCGTGGAAAATTTGGGCTCCGTGGCGGCCGTAAGTTGAGGACTACCTGTAGTCTCTTCCCAGATGCCATGTGCATTTAGCCAACAATTCAAGATTGGATAACGGCGGGATTGACGGTGACTCCTGGAGAAACAAGGGCAATTTTTGCAGACTCACCCATGAAATAGCTGGTAATTTTGCAGAGGGAGCTGCCAAAAATGAAATCCTGTAAGAGGTTGGGGATCAGGGTGAAAGGCATGCAGAAGAAGCACAGCATGAGGTCGCTGATGGCCAGCGACAGCAGGAAGAAGTTGGTAACTGTCCTTATCCTTTTGTTTCTGATCAGCACCGTGATCACCAAGGTGTTCCCCAGGACGCTGAGCAAAAAAATCAACGAATAGAGGAGGATCCGTACTGTCTGGTCCAATTCTGCAAGGTAAAGTGAACAATAATCAGAATCAAGAGAAGCATTGTGTGGAAAAATCACATGTGGTCATGCTAAGGGAGGGGGGAAGCTCTTTCTTTCTACACGGGAGATGATACGCATGGAGAATAAGGATCCAGGATTTCTGGGTTTTTACCCTAAAAAAAGGGTAAGTTTCTCTCACTTGAAAGCTAGAAAGGAACCAGTGGGGTAAGCAATCCCTCCACCACGTGTAGCTTGTTCTTAGTCCTCCATAAGCGTGGGACTCCTACAATTACTTGAAGGAAAGGGTCTTTTCACATTTTTGCCCCCACCCATCCTCTGCCAGAGGTCTTCTCCTCTCCAAGCCCACGAGCTATGTCCTCCTCCACTACACTACGTCTGGAAATCATCGTTAGCAATTGTGGGGTACCAAGCATGAGTTTTGCCAGTGGTTCAAAATGGAACGACGTCAAAAGGGACCGATGACATTTCGAGGGGAGAAGCCATACGCAGATGATCAAAGTAGCCTTGTGCTCCAACTGATTTCTCTCCCGTTAGATCCTGAGCAAGGTGGGCTAGTTAGCTCAACACAGGAAAGCGTGATAAATAGAGGAAAGGGCTAATCATGTCCCTTGCTTGATGCTTCTCTCCTACGGTGTCCTTCCTTTCTTCTTTCCTTCCTTCCTGCCTGCTTGCCTGCCTGCTTGGAAATTGTATATTGGCTCTCGGTGTTGTGTTTCTAACCAAAGGATTGAAAAATTATGACGTTCTAAGTGAGTAGAACTGGAGGATAGCTTAACACCAGTAAAGTTAACAAAAGAAGGGACAGTAATCTTATACAGGGGGCCACCACAAAGAAGAAGGGGTCAACCTATTCTCTAAAGCACCTGAAGGCAGGACAGGTATCTGAAGCAGAACATCCAGATTCAGTCGTAGTTTTGTTCCATATAGCATCAACCTTTTGAACTCTCAAGTTTCCTCTTTCTGCTATGTATTTAAAAGGGACAGTGATTAATATTTATATGTATATGTATATATGTATGGGTGTAGGTATATATATGTCTGTGTGTGCAGGCATATAGCATGTGTATATGTGTGTTATGTATGGGTATGGGTAGATATATACTTTCTTTTGAAAGCAGGCAACAGAATTTCATTTTTAATGTGGGGCAGTGTTCTCACAGTAAAAAACGACAATAAAGGTTATGTTATCTTATCTTATCTTATCTACGAAGCAATGCATGGAAAATCAAGGAGAGAAGCAACCTAGAACTAAGGAGAAATTTCCTGACAGAACAATCAATCAGTGGAATGGCTTGCCTTCAGAAGTTGTGGGTGCTCCAACACTGGAGGTTTTAAAGAAGAGATTGGACAACCATTCGTCTGAAATGGCATAGGGTCTCCTGCTTGAGCAGGGGGTTGGACTAGAAGACCTCCAAGGTCCCTTCCAACTTCTCTGTTATTCTGCTTTACAGATTCCGATGCAACCTCCAGACCAACTCTGGTTTTTTTCATTACCCTCTAAAATAGAGTTAATCAGCCTATGTGCTCCTTTGATTTCTTTTCATTTTCTTTGTAACATGTGCAATGTTTTTTTTTAGGGGTTCTAAAATGTTATTCCTGCTTACTGCACCACGATGCAGCTAAACTTTAAAGTTTTACCATTTTTCTAGTGCTGTGATTCTATCAGACAGCAGGAAACTAATAGATAATTGCCTGTTTTAACATGAGCGGTCAATTCCTCCCGTACAGTAGCACTCGGAGTATTCATCTGAATATTTCAACTTCATTTTAACTTAACCCCATTTAACTTCATTCTCTTACATCTTTTCGATCCTGCACCGCAACTTTTAACATTTCTGCCACCACGGTAGTTTAATCCGAACATTAAGGGATTTGTTTCTGCTTTTCCTCTTTCCTTGATCCACAAATGTCACTTTTCACACACAGCCTGACTTTAAAAACCTTCACAAACTGTTTACTTTAGATTACCGGTAGCTACCAGTAGATTCCTTCTGATTTCCAAAATAGCACTCACCTTTAAAAGTCCGAGGAGGGTGGTTCACGCAGAAAATGGTGTAATTTTCCAAGTCGA